GTATCGTTTGCAGATGATCCAATAATCATATGCGTATCAAAATATGATATCGATTTTTGCAAAAAGCTTGTGGTCTCGTGCGCAGAACAAGCACATCTAGCCGTGCCCGAATGGTCAATACGCTCCAGTCTACCGTTACCCCAGCCGATCGCCACTTGCATTATTAAAGGTAATGAAGTTGATATGATAGGTGTAATAAAATATGGCACTGTGATATGAGGAATGTGATGGAAGCAGAGCATGCCATCGAACGCTACGGAGAATTCGTATAATGAGCGAACGCCTTCAATGCTAATTCCTTCATCTTATTGATAATACTGTTACTTGTGTGTAAAAGTTGATGCCATCATATAACACGTAATGAAACTTTCACCATCGCTCATCTTCTGTAGTTATTTTGCAGAAAACTATGTCGCAATGTGTTACGCTCAGGATGGTGTTACTCTTTGTAACACGTGGTTTACAGCGTGTTTCATCGTTAACTTCGAGTTACCGTTTACCGAAAAGCAAAAGAATTGTGTTGAAATAAGTAGGTTGATATGTAATCATTGCTTCGCTGTAAGTCAGTTGCACATCTGCAAAACGTTTTTGTTGCGTTCCTCGAGTAATTTATACATTTCTTCATATTCAGCTACAAATTAAAGAAAATAAAATTGCTTTCTCGAGCTCATATTCAGCTTAAAAAAANAAAAAAACAAATTCTTCTTAATTCTTCTTATGTTCCGTTGTTATGATTCATGAGCCTATTACTCTGCATTTTTGTTTGTTGTAGCTTTGATTAACAATTATTAAAATTTCGTCTTTGCACCATACGAGATTAACGGGACAATCACGACTCAGGTAGTGGATGGTGTTTTCGTTTTAACGACAATATGATATGATGAATGTGACATTTCTGTGACAAGTTTTGATCGCATAACAGCGAATGTCGCGATGATTTGTAATCAAATACTTTATACTTATTTTACTTCGTATTTCAGAGAAATTCACTGCATATTGTCACAAAAATTACGGAGTGACAACATGTAATAAGTGGTGGCAGTTGTGTAAGGTTGTCCATGTGAACGGGAACGAAGTGCTATCCGTGAGCGACAGGGAATGTATAACCACCCGTACGTTTCATTGTTTTGATTGAACCGAGAAATTGCAGCAGCGAAATTAATTAGCTGTTTTGGTATCGTTAACGTTGTATCAACCACCAGGAAGTTTATTACTATTGCAAAATACCAGAAATCATCTACTTCCGATAGAATTCAGCGTTGAAGGGTCGAACAAGAATGATGAGGTGTATGGTAATTTCAGAATGGGTGCTTCATACGTGCGTAGCGAAATACGGCAAAGACTTTTGTTTCAAACTGGAAACGATATGCCTGTCGATGCTTGGCCTATCCGTCCCGGCTGCCTCTCCTCGTCGATTTCCGTTAAAGTTGTCGGACTGTATCGGAAAAGGCGAGCTCTGAACGCACATATTTTCAACACATTCCATCAATGCCAATGTCTTTCACCCATTATTTTGCGTGACGCGCAAGTCATGAAATTTTTTCGTCATAGTTCTTTGCTACTAATGAGATTCATGCTCATCTGTTCAACCATCATCTGATCTTATAATGGGTCTGAGAATAGCAAAGTGAAAGCAGTAAAGTAATAATGCATCGTTATCGAATTGATTCAATGAGATATTTTTAGAACATCCTATAGCGACATGTATAGCAAAATATGGCCCCGGTTTCTGCAACAAAGTGCTGAAGAGTTGTTCTGAACTGCTAAATCAGCCTATTTTGCCACGTACACCCGGATCGCTTCAGGAGTTCCTCGAACCAATTGCTATATGCATTTCGAAAGGTTTCACTTCTCTATTTGCACAAGTTTTTGATTCCGTTTTAGATTGGATCGAATCGATGCAGTGATGCTAGAACATGGAATAGTTGTTGAATTAACTGCTAATGGCTTACTGCATTGCAGAAGATCCATTGGCTTTTTGTTATGCACGCGTTGGTGAAGTCGAGTGTAATGAATGGAAGA